TAAACTCATCGAGTTGCTTATTGTTGCTAGTCCATCCATCGGATAATTGTTTATGTCCACAAATGCACCACACGGGATTACATCGGAGTATTCCACATGCGGAGCAGAAGCCATATCGAGAGTAACAATCGTAAAAGCGTTCATTAGAAACCATATAATATTTATCGTCATACTCGGTGAATCCTTTTATGAGTTCGTTGCGACAAGTAAGCCATTTATTATATCGTCGAAATTGATTGACATTACTGGTGTAATGGTGTGTCGGAAGCGAGTATATTCTAGCAAACTCACTAACAAGTGTTGGTGTACATTCTCCACTGTTTCCAAGGCATAACAGCATTATTATTTCTTTAACTTTAACATTGTATTTGCGAGTAGCGTTGTAGACGTTGTCAATTTGAGTTGGTTTTATGTCGGTGATTTCTTCGTAAGAAATCCATTCAAGTCTTAAGTATTCATATTCACTTTCCAAGGATGATTGAACCAAGTTGTCAATTGCTGGATTATTAATCCCTGGAACTAATGACATCGTTTGAATAAGAAGTTTTCAAGTAGCATTCACCGATATGTCCGTGTAACGTTTAACTACTTGACCTTCTATCTCCCCTACCAAAATTAGTAACTCGAAACGTTACCAAATCTGGTAGGGGAGGTACTCTGATATCACAATTTCTACATTTGGTCAAGTTTGGAATCGCATTTTGTGAAATGTTCCATTCTACTTGCAATGTCGCGACTCAGCGATTCACCGAATATAATGAACCTTCTGGAAGCTAAATAAGCTTGTCTCATGATTTGGCACAATGGGAACTGCTAAGCTGATATTGTTTGCTGCCGCAATCGAGAATCATTAAAATCGAATATCTACAATTATTAAACAGTATGTTCGGCTTGCGAGATTGGAGGCAGACACCAACAGAAACTAGTAGCAAGTCTTTAAAAACGAAAGCTATGAATATTAGTGATACGACGGAATTCGATACAACTTTTTGTGCTAGTTCTTTTTCGCGGCAGCGTGCTTGTTGTATAATGAATATTAAATAGCGCGTATTTATTGTTGCCAAACTACAGCGTATTACTGCGGCACGCATATATCCGTATTTGCCATGTGACAGCTGACGCAACTTAACGTCTGTAGCTTTTATTCAAAGACCGACATTCAACCTTACTACAACGGCCACCATGGAGGATATTATGCAAAGGCTACGCTAACGGTTCTGCTTTTGTTGAGGCCATATTCTCCCTGACATCTTCAATTTGTGACCTTATTCATACAGGGACATAACCGTCCAACAGAAGGCCGCCGGGCTGTTGGTAATTCTTTAGCTTTGAATTTCGACATCTCAGATGAAAGAATTCGATCTTTCGCACTGTTAATGGCGTTATTAGTCAGTCATTCGATTTCATATGTTAATTCAACATCATTCTTATCGCAACTTGTTCTAGGCCGAGGGCAGCCGAATATATTAAACGAAGCTAAGAAGCCAATATTTGAAATGATGCAAGGAGATACTTCAGACAAAATCGGTGGTATCTTAGCAATAGGTATAGTATATATTTGTCATCATCAAAAGATTGATACAGATGTTTATGGCACGTTCTTACAACAACTATTACTATGTCACGTGACAAAATTGCAAGAATATCTGTAATAATATTGGACGAGTTATCTAAAGATGGTTCTACCAGGTGTCGATCCACTCATGATATTAGCAGCAAAGGCATTAGGTAAGATCTGGTCATTAGCAATCAAAAAATACCAAATATTGACTGGTGGCCCTGTGACTGCAGTGTTCGTACAGAGTGAAGCAAACATTGCTTTAGAATACCTACAAGGTAACCGCGTGTGTGAGAGAAATGACCATTTCATAGTGAATACTTGATACAGTATATGCATTGCGGATTTTTAACAGCCTTAAGCCTCAATGAACATGAAAGAAATCCCCGAAATCGCTTTTGCATCCAAGCCGTTCCATTTAAGTGTTGGGGAGTTGAGGAGTTGAGCTTGGAGAACGGGAGATACGAAAAAAACGTGGGGAAAGCGTTGTACATGCACAGTATATAGTTCAGTAACAGAGGTAAAGCGGAAGATTGCATGTGAATCTTCATCTCTGCGCCTACGTGGAAGAACCGTTTGTTGTAAAAGCATCAATAACAGCTGACCGATCCAAGTAATATTTGGGTGCACTCCTTTTTGACTCTTTTCTTTGGTGATGCAAATTCTTTGGGTCGACTTGGCATTAACATTTTCCCCAATGAGAACCTCTCCTGTTCCTTTGATGAATGGATTGTGGCGCAGAAAATTACCTCATATTTAAAAAACCAAATAAGTATGAGTTATGAAAGAATACAGATCACTGACTTGGAGCATAATATGTGCAATTTTTAAACAGCTGAGAGTTCTTGAAAGTTGTTCGCGGGGGATGTCACCAGATTTAGCTTCGTGCTACCGCCCTTACTACGATAGTTCATAGTTGTTCAATTAAGACTGGATCCTAAATCTACAAGTGACCTAAATTTTCTTAAAGCATATGACCTACCTTGAAAATTTCTTGCTGGCGGCGGCAAATAGTTGGGTAATCTAACATATACTGGATCGTCATCAGTTTTGTATAAACAACGACGACATATCATTGTTCCTCGTTCTATCTCAAGGCATTTGATCAGACGCTCTGAAATTTTGATAAAGTCTTTGTTTCTGCACTGGATCGTGCTGAAGAAATGTATACCTGATGTTTTGGGTGTGAACAGACATAATTAGTTTTAATCTTTTTTGCGTTCACTATCAATTTGTTATAATGTTTTCGGCACAAAGCCTTGCCGACCAAGTCCAGATGTTTGCTTGAATTTGGTATTATTACGCGGTCAGATACAAAAGAGGCACCATGCCGTTCATCATCACAGACGACGCCTTCTTGGTCTTTTTAAATCGCAGTGTCGACTCTTTCTTTTTCCCTTCTTTTCATTAGAATGGGCTAGACTCTGCTTGCTGGAATCTTGTGTGGACATTCTTCGCAAAAATGCTTCTTTGCTAGTTTCTGAATTGCTTCGCCGTTTCTCGAATTACTTTGGCAGTATATGTAAGAAAAGGTTGCAATTTAAGATCTTTTTGGTTGTATCTATTACTACAAAGTGAAATTCACTTTAACGAAGACATTCGTTCCACGATTTTGCTTCGTTAACCTGAAAGTTCGCTTAAGTGAACTGTCTTTTTATATGAAATATATGAATCCGTTCTGGAAAGAACTCGTTATAAAGCGATCTTCGTTAAAGTGAGACTTCGTTTCATTGTGTATTAACAATTTGTTTCATGGCATACAATTGGTTAAGTCGACAACTGTCATCCAATCAGATTAAAGCTCTCTATGTAATAAAATTTGGTATTTCGACTAGTCGGTTGTCTCTAGAAACTAATTAAACAAGTTTCGATTTCAAAGGGGAATCGTTTATTCCGTGGAGTGGGATTACTGTTTTAATAATCTAAACAACATTCATTGACAACATGAACGATGTCAACAACATAAACAATATGAGAATTTGACGATGGGATAAGGGCCGCTTATATACCCAAAATGCGAAACAACAGGAAACACTGGAGATAAGCTAGCTAATAGCGTTTATATACTCATAAAGTCGACGAATTACGTATATAAATAATGACTCGAAACTACAATGGCTTGCGTCTATGGACATTTAACTACGCTCGCTTTGAAACCAGACATATGTGATTTACAGAGGATGCACAATTATTACGCCGTCGCTCTACGAAGGTCAACACTTGCACTAGACCATGGAGTCTTGCTTGAAGATTTTACCCTAAAGTCGACGAATTACGTATAAACGATGACTCGAAACTACATTGGCTTGCGTCTATGGACAATTAAACTACGCTCAGTCGATTTCGCTTTGAATTATCGTAAAACCAGTCATATGTGATTTACGTGCCCCTAAAGTCGACGAATTACGTATATAAACGATGACTCGAAACTACATTGGCTTGCGTCTATGACAATTAAACTAC